CCGTCAGCCTGCAGCACTACAGTTTCATCCCGAGCCGAGCTAACAGCGGGTCATTTGTGTTGCATTAGCGAGCGAAGCTGACTCAGTGTGTGGCAGCAGAGCCGGAGGGCCGGGGGGGGCTGACTGATGGGCTGTGTGATGGGTAAAGGCAGGCTGGCAGAGCTGGCAGCAGCGGGGGGGACTCGGGGTGAGCAGATTCTGCTGAGAGTTACACTTCTGCTGCACTCGCTGATTCATTAGCGGCCGACCCTCTGACGCACCGCGAGCACGAAACTCAGAGCGGGAAAGGAAAAATGTCAGTCAGTGGGCAGGTTTATTCTATAATCTGTCAATATCGCGGCGGCGCTCCACAGGAAGCGCTGCTCTCGCCTGTTTTTGAAGAAGTTCCTTTAATAAAACACGTCGGCAGGTGACAGGAGAGGCTGCGGCTCGAACGTGTGATTAAAGCTGCTTGAACGTCGTCTGCTTACAAAACAGCTCGGACACGTGCCCACATTAGTGCCCTGCTCCCCAGCACTGGACGCTTGATGGGCGGAGCCACCAGACAGGTACCCTCCCTCTCTGACAAACGCTGAGCTGCACCCGACCCACCGAGAGCACGCCGCACGCGGGCAGTTCTCCTGGATTTGCCAGAACAGCGAACCGTCTTCTTTTCAGATCAACGATTCATTTTCAGCTCGACGCCAGCAGGATGGACTGCACAGCTGGTTAACGCGCTCGGCGTCCACACTCAGGTGAACGTGGCGATCGAGCGTACCTGGGGGGGCAGGCCTGTCTGTTGCAGGGGACCGGGGACGTGACGGGTTTGGGTATGCGCTGACACATGTCGGGGTGAACGTCCTTTCCGTCCAGAGAGACGCATCGGATCCGCCGCAGCCACGTCCCTCTGCTCCCGCAGGAAGTGCTGCAGGTGGTCCAGTCGCCGAATCTCCAGCCAAACTCTGCAGAACGAAAGAGGAAACATGGAGATGCATGAGATCCAAACTCTAACGAGTATTCTGTAAATCAGCAGCTTCTGGGCTCTCAGTGACGGTCAGTCGGTTTGTATGAGGAGAGATGTGGCCGCCGTGATGTCACTTCCTGTTAACCCCCGTGTACAGCAGGGGGCAGCAGTCCAATAAAACCAGAGCTCAACACATTTTACTTTAGTTGTTATCCAACATGGAAAACGTGTCACAGCTGAAATAAACTGACTTTAGTGAATGAAGCTGTTTTTGACTCAACACCAGCGTCCTGCTAACTGCGTGCTGATTGGTCGGTTAAGGCTTTAGGACAGGATGTTCTCCGTTTCCAAAGATAACTCCAGCAAACATTAGCAGCGTCGCTAAAGCGCCTCATGGTGCTGTGACCTAAACTAGAATCTAGAACTCCAGCTACCCTTCAACCCTCTAATCACAAAATCCCCAGAAGAAAGATTTTTACTCCAAATTGAGATTTTAGCTCTACAGCGCCAAACCTGTCGCCTAGGGCTGCCACAAACGATTATTTTGATAGTCGACTAGTCACCGATTATTTTTGCGATTAGTCGACTAATCAGATCATCATCCATT